TCAACCTAATTCAAACTTGTGTCGTAGTGCGAGACTTTTCACTAGTTTTTATAAAATCATGATCAAGATAAAATCACTTGTTCATAAAACCATAATTCAAAAAAAATCCAAGATCAGAGTATAAGTGAAATTATTCTGGAAGTCTCAAGAACATAAAAGTTGTTGATGTGTGTATGTGTACAATCACGTCTTCGCTTTTCCATGATCAAAAGAAGTACGTGAAAAACATTTAATCCACAACTGTAAGCCAAAGCTTAACGAGTTCCCCAAAATACCATATACCACAATACACATACAATGCATACAAATAAAGACTCGAATCTCGTGTCGATCCACACACTGACCAATCTCTCAGCTCTCGTTCTGATCTGACTGACTACAACTAACAACTAACGACTCTAGCACACGTCTAGTCATGGCTAACAGCTCTAGTGCATGTCTAGTCATCCCAACGGTCAACGGATCTCATGTACGTCTAACCCTAAACATGAGTAATTTGGGCTCTTAGCTCTCGTGCCGGTCCACCGTAAACTCCCTACACATAACATACCAACATATCATACATGCAAAGGACTATACCAGCCTACTTTCCTAATCAACATACTACAACATAACAACATCCTAACATACATAGGACACATACTATAATATACAATATAATGAGAAAACTCACCTGAGTTCAAGAGCCGAAAGACCAAACACTAGAAGTCCTGCATAGCCAACTACTCGCACCACCTAATCCAAACAGTGGTCAATCTACAACTCAAAGCCCACAATTTGACCAAAAATCAAACCGATCAAAAGTCAACCGTCAACGGTCACGCCAAGACCAAGGATCAGTCGCGATGTTATCATGGTATATAAAAGTAGTATATAGAATCATTAAAAAGATGACAATGATGAATATTAGAAGAATTAACTTGTATTTATTTTTTTCTTTTATAAATTTGAATTATGTTTTATATCTAATAACTAATACGTTAAACATGTTAAGAATTTATCTAGAATGTATTATTATTCGATACAATTATCGTAATTATTTTATTCAAAAAAATTATTATTATTCTAATACTGTAGTGTTAGGAATTTATCTAAAATGTACTATCACTCGACAAAACAATCGTAACTATTTTATTTAAAAATATTTTTATTCTAATAATATAGTTTTCTAATTATATATAAATGACCAAAAATGTAATTTGGTTGTTATTTTAGATAAATTATGTCACAAATTATAATAATATAGTTTTGTGATTATATATAAATCATAATATTTGATAATAAATACAAAAATTAATAATCGTGAAATGGATATATTAATTGTCGCTAATAAATTAAGCAATAGGATCCGTGGCGCAATGGTAGCGCGTCTGACTCCAGATCAGAAGGTTGCGTGTTCGATTCACGTCGGGTTCAAATCCCTCAAACATCCTAAATCTTTTTCAACTGTTTCTGTCAACCAACAGGTTCTGTGCTAAAATTATTAATCGAATTATGCTTTTGCTTATTAGCCTTAGTTACGAAGATAGATAAGCATTTATAGTAATGGGTATTCATAACAAATATTCTTATATCATATATGGGCTAATTTACAAATACTTTTTGAACTCTAAATATATCAAATTCATTGTCTACAACATTATATGAGCATGTATGGCAATAAGCGTTGGAGAACTTTTAGCTCTACAATAATTTGACTACCACTTGTTAGAAATCAAATGGATCAAATTTAAGCTTTCTTAGGGCTGAAATTAGTGTACAAAGTATGGCGTTTTGCTGTCAAAACAGAGGAAAACAGGGACAGAAAGGAGCTAAACCAAATGGCCTTTTTTTTTTTTTTTTTTTTTTGATAAAATGAAAAACAAGGTTACAAAGGTTAGAAGGAAAAATGAAGAGTTGTTGTCTTAATTCTTATGCTTCCATTCTACATATAGAAATACCAGTTACAACTACAACTTAAAGGCAATAGCTAGTCAAACAAGAAAATCTACACACATATCCTTAAAGCAAGGAAAGAATGGGTGTGGTGTGGTGATTGTTAGGAACCGGACCGGGTACACGCAGCGGAAACACACTATCACACACACACAAACTCACGAAAATAAAGCAAGAAAAACACAAGGATTTTACGTGGTTCGGATTCGGTGCAAATCCTACATCCACGGGCTGCAACTAGAGAATTTTATTAAAACTCACAAGATTACAATTGGCTTGACACTCTACACTTGATGTTCTCTCAAGTTTTTGCACACAAAATATGCAAAACATACATGCATATATATAGGTATATTTGTGAGCCGCAATATGCACAACATTGCCGCAAAGATTGAAAAATGCGTAGATTTTTCTTTAGCCGTCCATTGATTATTCCACCGAAAGTTCGCGTCCAATTCAAATGTTCAATTGTTGCGTTCACATTAGAGATAGTGACAATAAATATTAAACAATTGATTCCACCGTCCATTCAACAATTCAATTGTTTTAATTTCCAAGTTTCATTTATGGCCCTTGAACTCTTAGGAACTTGTCAATTTGTTCATGACTCCATAAATCTTAACAATCTCCCACTTGGAGACTTGAACAAATTAGTCTTTCTCCGCCATCCAACTCTCAATTACTCCAGTAATCTTAAAAAACAACCAAGTCCTTCAAGCTTCCAGTTCCAAAGAACAAGCTAAAACTTAGTTTGATTTCTCTAGTTGCAGCCGCCCCTCATCATCAATTACTAGAAAGAGCCAGTTGAAGCTCCCACTAGCTCCAACTCAGCCATGGCTAATCTCGCCACCGACTCATCCTCTGTCTCAACTGATTTGGACACTCCACCGGATCCAGAGATACACCGAGGACCACTAACACTCTCCAAACATAGCAAACATCCAACAGGAGAGAAATTTTCAGTCTTAGTCTTCAAAACCCAACGGCTCTTTGTAACTGTACCCGGAACACACCCCGTGCTCCCACTGTCACAGAATCCCCTGAATGGTTTAGAATTTCCGACTCGTCCAGCTAACATCCCCTTGGCTCCAGAATTCATGTTTGCAAAATGAACTCTCTTAGCAGTAGATTTAGCGAACCAGATTTTGTTTTGCTTAATCGGGATGGTCATACTTCCCTCAGCAGGTACCTCAACCATATACAATGACCCACGCTTCATACCTTGAGCAATCACCGAATTACCATTGACCACCATCCATTTACCACCACCAAACCTTACTTCCAGTCCTTGTTTATCTAGCTGACCAACAGAAATCAATTTTTTCTTCAGCTCCGGAATAACCCTGACATTCTTCAGGCTCCATGTAGTTCCCAATGAAGTAACTAGATCAATATCTTCTATGCCCGTTACTTGAAGCATCTCGTCATTTGCTAACCGTACCTTTCCAAAATCTCCTTTTTTTAGATTCACCATCGTTTCCCCGTTGTCCATGGCGTGAAACGAAGCCCCTGAATCCATGACCCAAGAGTCCACAGAACTTTCCATATTGAGTATCAGTGCATCATCCTCAGACACACTCTCAGCACCAGCAATGTTTAATTCTTTCTTTGGACATTGACTCTTAACATGTCCCACCTCTTGGCAGTTCCAGCATTTCACATTCTTCAAAGTTCTAGAAGAACTTTTTCCCCGACTCCCACTGCTCCTGTTATTCCCTCTACCTCTTCCGACATTTAATAAATCAGAAGAAGAAGATCCACCTTGATTCTTGCGTCTGATATCTTCGCCAAGAACCAAATCTCTAACCCCTTCAAAAGTCATACCACTGGTCCCCACGGAACTCGTAACAGCAGTAACTGTTCCGGACCAGCTATCAGGTAGAGAAGCTAGTAGCAGTGATGCTTGAGTCTCGTTATCAAATTTAATTCCCACAGATGATAATCTGGACAGAATTGAATTTAGATTGTTAATGTGAACCGTAACTGAGCCTTCGTCATTCATCCTTGTAGTGAACAACTCCTTCATCAAGAACACCTTGTTAGCCGCCGATGGTTTCTCATACATATTTGACAGAGCCTCCATCATACCACGCGCCGTGGTTTCATTCATGATGTTGAAAGCAACGCTCTTCGTCAACGACAATGTAATAACCGCCTTGGCTTTCTTGTCCTTTGAGTTCCACGCATCTTCAAAAGCTTTTTCCATTTTCTCCGGTTTGTCTCCGAGTACCATGTCCAAGTCTTTCTGACATAGCAATGCTTCTAATTGCATTTTCCACCAGCTAAAATCAGAACCGTTGAACTTTTCGATTACAACCTTGTCTTCAGCCATTACGACAAACAAGATACAAATCAGGTACACTCGTGCGTGAAAAAAAAATGATTGTACCCTCCAAAACCTCGCTAACCTGGCTCTGATACAAGTTGTTAGGAATTGGACCGGGTACACGCAGCGGAAACACACTTTCACACACACACAAACTCACGAAAATAAAGCAAGAAGAACACAAGGATTTTACGTGGTTCGGATTCGGTGCAAATCCTACATCCACGGGCTGCAACTAGAGAATTTTATTAAAACTCACAAGATTACAATTGGCTTGACACTCTACACTTGATGTTCTCTCAAGTTTTTGCACACAAAATATGCAAAACATACATGCATATATATAAGTATATTTGTGAGCCGCAATATGCACAAGATTGCCGCAAAGATTGAAAAATACGTAGATTTTTCTTTAGCCGTCCATTGATTATTCCACCGAAAGTTCGCGTCCAATTCAAATGTTCAATTGTTGCGTTCACATTAGAGATAGTGACAATAAATATTAAACAATTGATTCCACCGTCCATTCAACAATTCAATTGTTTTAATTTCCAAGTTTCATTTATGGCCCTTGAACTCTTAGGAACTTGTCAATTTGTTCATGACTCCATAAATCTTAACAGTGATGTGGTCTAAAAGGTTGAACCATGTCAACAAAAAAAAAACATGGGCCATCTTTTTTTTTTTTAAAAAAAAAAAATTGACATTTATGTTCAATATTAACTTCTCTTCCAACTTGTCACGAGTCGGGGAATTTTGTGAGGTTGAATGTCAAAGTTCTTGAACAGCTGCATTGGAAAGAAATAGGAAACATTCATATTAATTCTTTTACATGTTTATGTGGAACCCATTATTGTATAATAAAAAAAATGATATATATAGAGAGAGTATGTATGAAGAGAAAAACTTACCCTGTTTCAAAATCCTTGTAAACCCCAACCATGGCTTCAGCCTTGTGATAAAAGGTATCCTTGAGTGAGATCACAATACTCTGCAAACCATACGATTTTGATCTAATGAATCCAGCAACCTTAGCAACATTCAAATTATCAAGTGCTGCATCCACCTCATCCAGTATAAAGAATGGCGATGGCTTGTAACTGGAACAAATTAACAAAACTAAAATGACATGCATATATACCCTTAAAAGTTCAAACACGCATGAAATGAAATATTTTTTAGAGGGGTAGGTACGTACCTGTGGATGGAGAAAAGTAAAGCAAGGGCTGCAACCGTCTTTTCCCCACCTGATAGTTGCTCCATATCACGGAAACGCTTTGTAGGTGGCATAGCACTGTACTTTATTCCATGCAAAAATGCTTCTTCCTCGTTTTCCAAGTTTAAATATGCACTGCCACCTAACGGATGTGTGCTGCTCTTTGTCAATTGCTTATAGATTTTGTCAATGTTACCAGATATATGCTCGAAAGCTTCCATAAAACGCGTAAGCCTGTAAAAAAACAATTTAAGAAAAAACAAAAGAAATGTTCATTTTGTTAACTTATAAATTTACCTTCTGGTCCTCACAGCTTCAAACTCCTTGCCTATCTTTTTTGCTTCATCTCTGGCCAATTCAAACTCTTTGATGGCTGTTTTCTCTTTCTCCTGCAATGCAGCGTATTGATCTAGGGCTTTCAAGTTAGGGGTAGTTTGGTCAATTTCTGATATTATGCTTCCAATTTTCTGTTTAAACTCTGCTTCCACCTTCTCCCTTTCAGCAGGTGTCGTGTTATGCTGATGTGACCTACCAAGTTGACTGAAATCATACACCGGTGCTGACTCATCAACATCCATTGGATCAGCCACAGTTGGAAGGGTAATTTGGTCTAAATCACACTTGTCCAAAATATCCTGTTTCTTGGAGTTTAATTGTGTGATTAGAGTCTCCTTAGCATCTATCCTGTTTTTAAGTTTTGTTATATTGGTTGTACAAGTAGACATCTTTATTTTCCATTGTTTCATCTCTTTCTCACACACCTCTGATTGTGACTTCCACTCTACAAATCAAAGAAACAAAATCATCACAAATTATTTTTTTTATCAACAATCTACAAGAACATGCATTAATTATTACATACCCTGTATTTCTTCCTTTAATGTAGCAAACTCTTTGGTGACTTTCTCTATACTCGATTTAACTTCTTTCTCTCTCTCATCAACCTCAAGCAAACCTTTTTTTAATTCATTCTTTGATAATGTCAGCTTAGCAATTCGATCTCCCATGTCTCGCTTTTTCTCATACTCCAGCCTGAAAATAAACACAAATATCATAGAGATTAATTTAATTAATAAATCTTTTTAATTTTGAAACAAGCTGCAAATTCATAAACATACTGGTATTTGATTTTGGACTGCTGATTATGCAAACGAAGCCTTTCATCAGCCAATTCATGGTGGCTTTTTTCATACTCGTGGATATTTTCCACCCCAACAGACTCGCTGAATCTTTTGTAAATTTTGTCAACAATCTCATTAATCCTCTTCTCGAGTGATAAAATCTTGTGTTGTCTTGAGGAAATCTTATTTCTTATCTGCAATAAAACCCTCGAATCAGATCCTGTATATAGTCAACCAAATCGCTGACTTATTGTCGTAACACCACCTCAAGAAGACGAGGTTCGATATCACCAATTTTACTTTTTATATTATTGTATTCCGAAATCAACTTTGATAGTTTCTCGTTTGTATATACCTGCAACAGAAAAATGATCAAAAAAAAAACGTGATATCATATCAGAGGATCAGGAAGTTTGATAAGAAAAGTTCAACAACCTTCTCAATCTCTGCATACTGAATTTTCTTTTGAACTCCATTGATCTTCACAGATGCTTCAGACTCCTTTAACTGCATTTCTCTTATAGACCCCACCTCTTGCAACTCAGCTTCAAACCCTTCTTTTTCTTTTTTAAGATCTGAAAAATACTTCCATGTGTAAACAGGAAGATTAAGAGAACTTATAGGTAAGTTAATGCAAAAATAACAAACCTTGTATTTTCTTTTTTTGTGACCTTGCATTCATTTCACCACTTGTGCCAACAGTCATGGTGCCAGCCTTTGTTAATAAAATTCCATCAATGGTTACAACTACAAAGACATCAAAACTTTAAAATTTAAAAGATGATCACCATTCTTCCTGTAGAAGAAAATCAAAATATGTAGTACGTGTTTAATTTACCTCTAAATCTCTCTCCTGTCCAACTCAGATGCTTAGCTTCATCAAGATCATCACAGACTAAAGTATTCCCCACAGCAAACATGATGGCCTTATTCACTACTTGATCATTTGTTTGATTGTTAAGTAAACAAGCTTATAACTGATTGCATGTGGTGTGGGGTCCCAAATTGAATTAAAATCTATATGAGAGTTAAAAGGATATTGGATCACATCAATGATAAGCCTTGCAGTTCCACCTAAGGCACGCAGCTTCTCAATAATTGGCTCAACTCGGATTGAGTTAAGAGGTATAAAAGTCATTCGAGGAAGCCTTTGGTCATTCAAATACTGCACAAAAAGAAAAAGTGAAATACAGAAATGCATCACAGCTTATATGTAATTAACAACCATAGTTTATATAATCATACCTTGATGCATTCTTTTCCTGTATCCTCATTATCAACAACTACAGCATCCATAAATCTGCCCATAGCAGCAGTAACAGCAAGGTTATATTTATCCTGTGTTGACTTGAAAAGGTCAGTCATACGACCATGAACACCAGGAAATAAACGCATGAGAGCCTCAACTGTTTCTGACAACTTTGTATCCCTTTTATTTGAATTTTTGTCAGCCTTCGACTCACGTAACTTATTCTCCAAATCACTTATATCACCCCTCAACTTCTCATATTTTACTTTGGAATCTCCAACCTTCTTGATGATGTCATTTTGTTCCTTTTTGAGTCGTTTGAGGTCTTCATTATGTTCGTCAATGGCTTCTAGAATCTTCTTTAGTCTACTTTGTATTTGTTTCTGTTGTGACTCAAGCTCTTGTTTCCTACTCTCTAACTGTTGAAGATTCTCTTCCAGATTCTTTTCAGCTTCCACGTCAGCATGTTGTTCCCTATCTTGGACATCTTTTTCGTCCCTTAACTTGATAGTCTTCATACCAGCTTCCTCTTTACTACCCAAATTAAACCACCTTTTATAACTAATTTGTAATTTTTTTCAATTATTAATTATACCATAAAAATAAGTACTTAACTACTTACATGCGATTATACGCCTCCAACTGATGATCAGTTAAGTGAAGTTGCTGCTTCCCTTTTTCAGATTGAGCTTTTATTTGTAAGTTATTGAGTTGGTTTGTAAGGTCCTCCAAGTCATCCTGAAGCTTCTGTATTTCAAGCATGTGTTTCTTCTTCTCTTCTTTCCTTTTCTCAAGCTCTTTCTCAGTGTTTTCAAGTTTTGCAATCAACCGAAACTTCTCCTCCTTTGGCTTCAGAAGCTCCTGTTGCTGATGAACCAGAATATCTATCATCTATAGTAAGCAACTGATAAGGATGCAGAGCAAATAGAAAAAGAACTAACATATTTATCAATTTTATTTTTCTTCTCTGCAAGCTTCTTTTCTTGTTTATCAATTTCTTTTCTATATTTAGCTTGTTCCTTTTCTTTTTTGCATGATTCATTCTCATAACCACCCAATTCATTCTCAACTTCTTCAAGTCTACTACTTTCAGCTTGAATCTCCTGATTGGCCTTCTCAACATCGTTTTCTATGTTAAATAACTGCCACAACAAGTGATCCTTCTTTAAAGATCTCTGCAAAAAAACAGGTAATTAAACATATGAGCAATACTCATTTCAAATCTAACATGCAAAACACACACTGCAGATACATGCATGCATGGGGATAGTGAAACCCTAGGATGCATAATGGCATACCAACTCTTGTTGCAGACGCATATGTTTCTGGGCCTCTTTCTTGTGCTCCTTCTTCTGCTTTCTCTCAATGACAATTGTCCTTTTCTTCTGATAAGCAAGTGTAGACTTTTCCTCAGCTGCACCTTTCTTTTCTTCCAGATCTTCATACAATCTCTTATCTTCATCAGACCCACATATTTGCTCAAGAAGCACCGTAAGTTCTTTAGGATTTTTAGATGCGATAGACTCCACATCACCCTGCATTTGAAGTACCTTAACTTAAAGCCTATTAACACAATACATTGTTCACTTTAACCATGAAACAGTCGTGTATCATAATTAATTAACGTATAAGCAAGGAATTTAAACTTAAAACCAAATAACCTGAAAAACCAGAAAATTCCTGGCCTTCACGAGAATTCCAAGAGATTTCAACCTGGCATTATAATCATCCCAATTCACAACCCTATCATCGATCATGTACTCACTTCCCCCGGCACTAGTAATAATACGAGTAAACAAGAGTTCAGTACCGTTTTCAAGTCGATAAACCAACTTAACAGAAGCCCTACGACCTCCTTGCTCCTTTTCCCGGTCGTCAAAAGCGTAAATCAAGTCCTTCAACTGCCCGCCTCTGAGTTGACTGGTTCGAACACCGAGCACGAAGCTTATAGCATCCATGAGGTTAGACTTTCCAGAACCGTTGGGACCAATAATCGCGGTGAAATCAAAGAAAGGACCGATGACTTGGTGACCTTTGTAAGATTTGAAGTTCTCGAGTTCGATCCGATCAATTTTGCCTTGCGAAGCCATTGCTGGCATGATTTTTGAAACCTGGCGTCGACAAATAGGTGGTTTATGGGAATAGGAAATTGGTGCGGTTTTGGCGGTATGATAGGATTTGTGGACGAAGACATGAAGGTTAATACCCGTGTTCGACCGGGCCGGGAAAAGCCGATGAATCGGTTTTTATGTGCACCCATACACTTTAGACCACGGGTTCGAGTTTTTAATTTTTAAATCTATTTGAACACGTCGAATAAAGATTTTTTTTATAAAGGTAAATTACAAGGATGGTACATGTGGTTTATAGTAATCTTCGAGTTTGGTCTCTAATGATTTTTTTTTTAAATTCGGATCATCTTTATTTTATATTTTTGTTGTAAGTTTGGTCCATGTTCGTTTTAAAAAGACTAGTTTACTCTCATCCATTTCTTTTTTTAATTAATTTTTATTTATTTATTAATTTATTATTTTATTAACAAAGAATTGATATAAATAATACATGTGGGTCCCTCCGTCATTGCCCCCTTGAGCCTTGTTCTTCCCTCGACCTTTCTCCTGTCTTCAATTCCTTCATCCCAACTTCGACAAATTCACTAAATCTCCGGCAAACGCAAACCAATCAAACCCCCTCTTCACCGGAGAAACAATTTTCACCTGAAAAAACAAATGGCAACGAAAATCAACAAGATTTTGGTCATCGGAGGAACGGGCAATGTGTGATATCTACATCATATCTCGTCGCCGCCGCTGCTCTGGGTATTTCCGGCGAACAGAAATCATAAACCAAAAACCTTCTCCTCTCCCTCTCTCAACTCCGGTGAACTAACCCTAACCTCTGAAGTCGGAACACCGTCGATGCCGCTAGCATCTCCGCCATCATCGTCAGCATCTTCGATTTACTCTGTCGGAAAAAACCACACGCTATCTCCAACATTTTATATGTACTCTATCATGTTTTTTCTTGTTTAATCCAGTTCGATTTTGATTTACGGATTATGGTTTGATTTTTTTTTTCTCAAGTTCAATTTTGCTTTCATTTGATGTTTGTATGATTCTGCATCAGTTTGATTTAGGCTGGTGGGTGTGAGCAACATGTTAAGACATGTTATCATACCCAAAATTTGTCAACTCATATGCCATGTCATCTTTAACACCATTTGATTTATGTAGGAAATGGTGTGCAAATGTTATAACATGTTATAACATGTTAAGAGATACAAAGAGAGTTAGAGAGAGAGTGAGATAATGACTTTTGATTGGTTGATTCTCACGTTACTTCCCGTGGCCATGGTAACATTTCTTAACATAACACCAAATAACATGAGAGGGGGGCGGTGTTCCGGTGTTATGGCACCGTTATGGGAGCTGCCAAATCAGCATAACGCCTTATGGCGTTGCTCATACCGAGTGGACTTAGTGTTTCTTCTGATTTTGATTTAGTGTTTTTTCTTATTTGGATTGGGGATTTTTGGTTTCAGTTTTTCAGGTTCGATTGTTTCAAGGAAGTTCATAGCAACAAAAAAAAATGCAGATCAGTGGTGGTTGTTTCAGGGACGACGATGGTGGTAGTTTCATGGGCTAAAGTGGTGGTTGTTTTACAGGCGATTGTGGGGATGGATCCGGAGTAGGTCATTAAAGGTCATTCCAGAAAATCGGCAGGGATGGGTTCGCCAGAAATCGGTCTCTTTCTGGGGACAAGAGAATTCGTCAGAGATTTAGGAGGGTATAGGTGTGTAGATGATATGAAAGAGAAGAACTCTCGTTTCAAACAGGTAGGGGTGGAGGTGGAAGCATGGGGTTGGGGTGGATGGTGGGACCCAATGGTTTTATTTATGTTTTAAATAATTATTTAATGAATTAAAATTATAAAAAAAATGGTGAGGGCAATGTAGTCAATTTAGGTATGACATGGATCAAGCGTTCAACAAACATATAAAGTAATGACGGTCCGAGTTAAAAAAATTTGTTAGGGACCAAACACACATATTAACCTAAACCACAGGACCCATCCGTGTAATTTACCCTTTTATAAATTAACGGATGAAAGTTATTAAAAAAATTAGATTATATATATTACGAGGATAAATACAAAAGTTTAGAAAATAAAAAGGTCAAATTGATATTTTAATACTTATTTAATTCATCTAAAAGTGGGAGACAGAAATTGACAAGTAAGAATTAAAACAAAACAAAAAAAAGTGGGTCGACGCCAATGTTTTAAAACCCGGGTTTTTAGTTGACCCAGTGTGATGACCGGTTCACGGGTCAACCGGTTCAACCGGTTGAACCGCCCGGTCAACCTGGTTTATGGTATTTTTCTATTTTTATATATTTTTACTTTCCTGCATAATGCATAAACATATAAAACCAATAATTTAATGTCCACAAAGTTTAAACATTGAGAAACATTGAAGAAACCACAAACGACTCGTTGTTTTGACGTTCGCTACTTGTATCCAACTATCTAAACCCTATTAAAACGGGTCAATCCGGTTTGAACCGGTTCAACATAAGCGGTCGAACCGCAGTTTAGGGGAAACCCGGCCGGTTCGATCCGGTCCGTATTTTTACAAAAAACCGTTCACAATTGACCCGCCTTCTACCCCGGGTCACGGTCCAACCGGTTGAACCGGCCGGGTCGACCCTGGTTTTAAAACATTGGTCGACGCGACGTGTAGGGTCATTGGTTGTTGACTTTGACTTTGACCGATTTAACTTTTGGTCAAACATGTAGGTTTTGAGCTATAGAATGAGGTTGGACCTCTATTTGGTTTTAGTTGTTCTGTATTAGTTGATTCGAGGAATCATGCTAGCATGACTGTGATTTCATTATCAAGTGAGTTTTCTCAACATACTATGTAGGACACTAGGTGTCACGACATGGTAGATTGTCTTTGTGACCTTTTGTATAAATGACTATTGTGTGGCATAACGCTTATATGAAAGACTATGATGGAGTCATAACACTTACATGAAAGACTATGGTGGAGTCATCACACACACATGTTTAAAGGATTTCCCAACCAATGCTCCTCTCGAAATCAGAAGTTTCAATTAATTACAAAATGAACTCCAAATTAACATTTAACATCTATTATTGTTGTAATGTATGTTTCTGTTTAATGATTTCGAAATATGGTCAATAAATATTAATGAACACTTATATAATAAAAGGCTAAATTTTTAGATTTGACACACACACACACACACACACATATATATATATATATATATATATATATATATATATATACATAACTATTATACAGATGTGTGGATAGTGTTATTCTATGATAATTACTAAGATAATAAGTTGTTTAGTAATGCGAATACGTTCAACCTCACATAACTATCATCATTTTCATGCATCCTGACTAATTCTTATTCATTTTTTGTTCTTACACATCGTTTTTCACTCATATATTCTTACAGAACAAGACTCACTAAATATTCTGACAACATTATGACAAAATGAGAATAATAATAAAAAAGTCTTTAATAACCTTATAGACGATTTAATTAGTGAGAATGTGTGATAATGACAATAGTTATGTACAATTGAACGTATTCATATGTGTGATAATGACAATTGTTATGTAAGATTTAACGTATTCATATTATCAAACAATATATTTTCTTTGTCATTCTCATAAAATAACACTGTTCACACGTCCGCACAATAGATGTGAATTCACATTTGAACCTAGCTCTCTCTCTCTCTCTCTCTCTCTATATATATATATATATATATATATATATATATATATATATATATATATATATATATATATATATACTAGGTTAAAACCCGTGGAATCCACGGGTGTTAATTTTAAATAGAATTAAAAAATTGATTATGTAATAAAATAATATATCATTAATTTAGAAAAACTTATGAATTGTAATATTATATTTTTTAATAACTTTTTAATTTGTAAGTATTTAGTTACACATGTGAATCCTGCTATTTTATAAAAGTCATGAGTTTCTATAATGCAACATATTATCAGTTTTGGAGCTTTAATCTTATTAAATACATGGAAGTTGTGACGCACTCACAAGACAAGCGCGTGAGTTGTAAGAAAATATTTATTCTTATTAAACCCTTACTTTTGGTGCATGATTGTTGGGAAGAAAAAATGTTTTGTCGGTTAAAACGTCACTTTTCCCATTGTAACTTACCACCTCAATAAATCTTCAATTCCACTATCACAATCACTCCTCATTTTCATTCCACGGTAGAGAAAAAAAACATTCATTCATAATTCAAAATCGCAATGACTAATAAAATATTTGCAACAATTTTTTTTATTAAATTACAAATATACTATTGGTATAGGGCAACAAATGAGCATAGAGGAACAAATAGGATAAAATGTAAATAAGGTTGAAATAATAAAATACATGTAAGAAATATAAATGATGAATTTTGACAAATGAATCAAAGTGCATTGCTATTTATTGCATGATTTGACTTGGAATTATTTTATTCTTACTTTTTTTTACTGTTGGTATAGGGGTAACAATTGGCATAATTTGTAAATAAGGCTGAAAATAAGAAAATATATGTAGGAAGTATAAAATGATGATTTTGATAAACCAAAAAAAGTACATTACTATTTCGAGTTGGTACTTTTTTTATTCTTACTTTTTTTTCACTGTTGGCAGAGGAGCAACAAAATGGGATAAAAAGTAAACGGTTATAATGGGTAACATACAACTACACCTTCCAAACAAATAACATATTATAGCATCATATTGTACTACATTTAAAAAAAAACATATTATAGCATCATATTGTACTATATTTAAAAAAAAACATATTATAACATCATAACGTATTGTTGCAGACGTTGGTGTAGAATATTTGACTTGGAATTATTTTATCTGCTACCACCTGCTTTCGTATTGTTGCAGACGTTGGTATAGAATATCGTTTTCTTCTTCTTTTTCTCTTAATCCGGCTTCTGCTTTGAGGATTCTTCTTTGTAACTCAGCAAGATATGATGACTTCACCACCACTTCATCTGATTCGTTGCCCTGTTTCCAAAAATTAACCTCACTTTGTTATTTTCTCATGAAATTGAAATGTGAGTTGTGAGTTGTGAGTTGTGACATGATTATATATTTTTATATGTTATTAAACAGAATCTCATTAAGTGTACCTTTCCAGAACCAAATTGAAGTAGTGCAATATCCCCTGAGCTTCTTCTAACCAACCACCCTCGTATAACTAAAAAAATATAGATTTTAATAACATAAATTAACACCATAATTAAAATTATAATATCATGATATAGAAAAAATAATATACCAGCTTGTAACACAACAGTAGCGCCATGAATGTCTTCAAATCTTTTCTTGCTTACTTTTGATTTAATCTGTTTCTGTATAACAACAGCCGCCCTATGTCTTTGTAGCAATACCCCAAACTCCTTTCTGGTTTTTTCACCACGAACATCTGTAGAAAAATATTCTTGTTAATTAAATGATATCTCAATATTTAAAAAAAAAGATTGAAAAGGCATATACATGACTGAAGAGTGAAAATTCCTCGTTTAAGTTCCTTCAAATATTGACGAGCTTTGTGACCTCTAAAGCAGCTTTGAACATGCAATATGCCATTAAGAGTTCGGTTCCTTGTATCCTCAAGCTTTCTGATCTGACATATAAATATATATATATATATATATAATATAATATAACATCAGTTTTTGTATAATTACTAAGATTTAATAAATTAACAAATAAAAATGTTCATCAGACCTATCCAGTTCTAAAGAACAACTTTGTATAACCAATTTGATACATTTCAGAAAGAATATCAAACTGGTGGAGAATGGCAACTGATACATTTGATGGATCTTGCAATGCAACATGCTCTAGCAAAAGAAACTCGTATCTAATAATAACAAAAAAAAGAAAGAAATGTTTGCAAAGCATAATATTCTTCTTTATTAAACATAATATTCTTCATTATGGCACTTTGTCGAGCATATGGTGTGCAAGTCAAAATAATCTAGTTTGCAAAGCATCCACCTTGCATTTTTGTTCTATTAAACTGTAAAAAAGAACATAATTTTACAACCATTGACACATAAGATCATAAATTGAGTATATAGATATTGTAACAATAAAAGAATAATACTTACCCGATTGATGCAGAAGCATTTTGATTGGAGGACATGTCAATTGGAGGATGTTGAATTGCTAATGGATTTGAGAAACAGAATGTACCCCAGATCGCTGCTCCCAATAGAAAATTGTCTAGTCATATCGATCAATGGGATGAAAATTTTGACCCACAAAAACTGAAATCGTTTCCTACAGAAGACGGTGAAGAAAATCGAAATCCATATAAGCAACATTGAATTATTTTAGAAAGGATATATGAGTAATCGTGCAACTAAATCAAATGGATGCGAGATATCAGTGATTTTGGCCTTAAATGTAGGAGATTAGAAACGTCGAAAGGAAAGAAACACAGTTGATTGAAACGCATTAAATCTGAAGATTAAAGCTGAAGGGCATTTGGGGAAATTCACTTTAGTATTTTAAGCGGGAAAAATTCGATTTGGGAGGCTTGAAGAATGTCACGTGGCAAAAATCTACTTATTTATTAGAATAGGGGATATATATATATATATATATATATATATATATATATATATATATATATATATATATATATATGGGGTTAAGCTAATAATAATAATAATAAGGATAATATTGATAATAGTAATTAGGATATATAAGTCCATGGTTGAGTTGGTAATTTCTAAAACTAATTTTGTAGAGAGAATATGATAATTATAATAATAACTAGGGTTTGGGCCATCCGTGCAATGCTGCGGAAGCTCAGTATGTTGGAAAACATATCTCGACATGGATAAGGTTTCTGGGAAACAATTATGTATGGATGTCACCCCTTGCACTGCGGCGGTGAACTTCTTTGTAATTCGTATATATATTGTTATTTTTAAATCGTCAACTACATATTTTTATGAGGATTATATTATATCAAGTAAACTACAAAATTATAAAAAAAAAATCTCGACCAAACAATTATGTATGCAAGAGAAAGGCAAAAATATGATTTGTGACCACAAATGATAAATCACTAAGAAATTATAATAACAAAAAGTAGTATTAATAAAAAGAAAAACTATAGAAAAATTAATGAAGGGATAAAAACATAATTTTAAAATGTAATAAGGGACTAAAATTGTAATTTATAAAATACTAATTATTTAATTTTAAAATAACGAAGGAAAAAAATTGTTAGATTAAAATTAGTTAAAGGGAAAAAAATGTAAATATAACAATTTACTATGAGAAGAACAAAACCTCTATTTCTAAAAAAATGATTTTTGTATTATTGAAAAATTGTACTTTACTCTTGATTTTTTGGCGATTAACAAAACCTAATGAGTAAAATTCCCTCACACCATTCATATGGTTGAGTTGGTAATTTCAAAAACTAATTTTGTAGAGAGAATTGAACGAGGGAGTTCTTTGACCAAACCGCAGTGATCATTTTTGCCAAATTCGGAAAATGGGTTGTCTTCTTCCCTGTTAGAAACGCAGGTCCTGCTGCTTCATTTCCTCTGTTTATAACCTGCCAAACTCGAATGTTTTGAAAGTAATTTGATCCCTAGCCTCAAATAGCTTCCTCTTGACATTTTAAACCGATATTCACCCTCTTTGTGCTTTGAATCGGAGAGAGGAAGTAGAGTGAGTGAGATGTTGATGAGTGGTGATTTCTCGTCATTTTTATACATCCTGCATCCTGTTTCTTTGTATGCTCATGTCCCATTTTTTTTTCTCCTGAAATGAAGCCAAGTGTGCCGGTGTATGTGTGAGTTTTCATACTCCCTTGTTTTTTTTTTCCGATGACCTTTCCGGTAAGGGCCGAGGACAAAACTTCGGTGTCAACTCAGAAGTAGAGAGACGAGATCAGAGCAGCCGTCAAGGGGATGAGGTTGTCTTCTCCGGTCGACGGAAAACAAGAGTAAGGAAGAGATTTATAGGGAAGCACAGGTGGAGAGAAAGATGTAGAGGCCGACGGTAGTGTTCCCGGTTGTAACTCTTCACAACGATTTTTGCTGTCAGAGAGGTGTTGTGTCACCATACATCGATCAAGGAAGCAAGAGAAAGGAAGAGGGTTATTAATGCCTTTGGTGATGGTTAGAACGATGCGAGAATGTGAGATAAACTGAAATGGTCAAACCCGGTTGAACTGGGTGGTTTTAGGTGGCTTTCACGAAGAAGAAGTGACAGTGTAAAGAAAGGCGAAGAATGATAAAGTCAACACAAGAATTAATTGAGGTAGTTACTCTTAATTTTGAATTCATTTTAATATTTGTGATTGTCACAACTCACACGTACTTAAATGTGTATGTATGCAGTATGTGTTTTAGAGGATGAAAACAAGAAAAGAATAGTATGATATTTGTCATTTGTTAAATATAAGGCCCAATAGTTTATTAATGGCGAATAAACAATCAAAATAAGTAAGGTTTATTGATTTATTTTATTTTATGTGAATCACTAAATGTCTAAATGGCCAATCCTATTGTTGTTAAGGGCTTAGATGGTATGTTAGATTTATAAGTTTGATCAAGGGATCGAATGCTAATAAATGATAGACTTTTTCTAAATTTCGTAAATCAAGATAAATGTTTTGGACTAAATAAATACATTTCACAATTGGTCTAAACCGGAAACCGAACAATGCGAATTTGTTTGTCATTCAAATACGTTAATGGGTGGATTTTACGTATTCAATCATCGAATAATATATCCAAAAATTATAGATTTGTTTATCATTCTAAGTAGATAAGAAGGGTTGGGGAAACACACCAGATGTGTTGAAGTGATTGCTTACCTTATACACTCCTATGTCAAACTACAACTAGTATGTCAGAAACGGATCAATTGGCCATGTTTGATACTAATGTTTCGTTTTCCATTTTCTGTTTTCTTTTCATGCAAATTGAGTGACGTAGCACAACATGTTAAATGGAGTAAGAGTCAAACGCCAACCGATAAAGATAATTGATCCCTATGATACCCTCTTAGTGATACCAAAAGGTAATTTATTGATTTTCTATTTGGTACATACTGAAACTTTATCACATGCAATGGAAGTAATAATTTAAAATTTTATTGGTAATTAGTTCTACTCCATGCACATTACCATCTGGTAGAACTTGGAACCATTTGATATCAAGTGACTAATGTGTTTTTTTGATCAAGCGTTAATGTATCTTTTATGAAATTATTATGTTAATAGGTGTAGATGTTGCTCAAACCAAGAGATTTCGATAAATTTGTGGTGCTAAAGCTTAAAGGTGGCTTGGGGACTACAAGAAGATGTACTGGTCCAAAGTAAGTGATTACCTAGTTTACATAATAGTGCATTAAAACTAATAAGCTAAGTACTTTCTTCAACCTGTTATCGATTATATGTGTATTTCATTGTCACAATTCATAAACTATTGACTATTAATTCTAACGGTTATTGGTTTGGAGTCATTGAGCAAAAAAGGAAATGAAGACCATCAAACGTGAGAACGTGACATGGTGGGATTCATGAGGGGAGATCAAGACACCGAAATCTACGGTATTATGATGGGTAGCTAAGAAACACACACAAGGTTGACCGATGGGAGAATTTATGAGGCAGTGAGAGATGTGTGTAACAAATTCACCCGAAAACATGAAGGTGATCATAGTTAGGTGTTTTGAGGAAAAGTTTAGCGTATGGAATTTAATGTTCGATGGATATGGTGTAAGTTGAGGAGATAGTGGCCATATGTACAACCTTAACTCAATAGGTAGGTGGGATGTGAGCTTGAAACAATAAGGTGGGGATAATATTGTTTATGTTAAAGGTCATGCATTCAGACAATTCATTTTGTTGAGATATGTGAGGGCAAGTGCAACGAAAGATGATATCGTTGCTATCAAAGAAAGTATGAAAGTAATGGTTGTCAGATTTGCCCCCATAGTCACATCGAAAGGATTTAATTTCACGTTTAAATTGAGTCTTGACATAAGCATGAAAATAAGTGCATTTTTCAAAAACATTCAATTTAGATCGAAGTGGGTACACCCATAGAAAGTGGGAGTAGTGATCTAAAAATAAAATGTAGTATTCTTATGTTATTGTCTTTTGAGGATCAATCAATCCATTATCTAACATGGTATTAGAGCTCTAGATTAAAACTCTGCTGACCACAACTCACAACCACCGCCTTCCACCTCCGGCGACCTTCTCTAATAGTCGTCGGAGGTGCCTTCATTATGTTCCATATGTTTCCTTTTCTTCTCTTTTCCGCCTAAATAATAAAACAGCCATCGGCACCAAACCAGATCTCTTTCATCGGTTTCTTCGACTGCCTCGTCTACTTCTACCTACTCCTCAGATGACCCCTGCCTCTAAGCCTTCTGCCTCCTCCTCAGTTGGCCACTTCTTCGGATCTCTTTTCTGATTTAGCCCCTTCTGACGTTGTTGTTGCCTCCCTCCGATGGCACCTTCTCCGTCGGGCAGCCTCTGATGTGTAGTCGTTTCTTTCTCTATCACCATTGCAGCTGATGATCTTGCCGGAATTGGCTCCGTCCGCCGCAGCTCGAGCTCTCTTTCTTTATTGTTGCCTTTCTCCAGACTCCTCGGCCGCTGGTTACATGATCATCACCGTTGCCGACAGTCTTCTCTTTTTCTACAACGAAATCACCTATGGATGCCGCTTCTTCTCTCTTCTTCTCCGACGAGCAGTCGATGTTAGCCGCCATTGTTAAAGCTCTACCACCATCGATGCCGCTATCTTCAAATAGTTTTTATGTTTTCTTCTTTTGTTTGTTTTTCTAGTTTAATCGTCTATTCGTCTCCACCCTATCAAACTGTGTGTGTGTGTGTGGGGGGGGGGGGTGTTAGTGATTAGGGTTTAGGCCCAAGCCCTTTAGGGTTTATCCATTAGGCTTTAGGTATTTTCTATATATTCTTATGTAATTGTCTTTTGAGAATCAATCGATCCATTATCTAACAGTCGGAGTGTATAATGTCAAACAATTTGAAAACAACTTAATTAGAAGTAATAAACGGTATATTTGCCAATTTTGCATGATTCAAAAAATTTGAACTAAAACGTGTATTTCATGCAACAAATTTATTCGAAACTAAATTTATATCACATGAAAGTCGGGATGATCAAGTTCTTGATGCCACAAAGTCGGACTACGTGAAAGGAAAACAGCACGCGTATTAGGCTTCTAGAATGCATCGTTTATCACCCTCCCTATCCGATCTAACAAGTGTATTTGTTTAGGAAGTCCTTCACAAAAAAGCCAAACATATCAAACTCAATGAAAACTTTATTATATTTGGTTAGTTTACGAACAGAGATAAGGTTTTTTATGATATCGGGTTTAACAAGAATATGATGTAAATGTAAGGGACAACGTATTGAATAAATGGTGGTATGTCAAGTGTGTATGACCGGAATGGTGGAGCCATGGCCAACAAGTATAAAGTTAATATGCCTCTTATTTCTAAGGAATTGAGAATACCTAAGTCTGAAGCGAAGTGAGAAGTAGCTCCTGTATCTATGCACCAATTCATGTCTCTAGAGTTTCATTAACGAAGTAGGGATTCATTACATGTATGAGGTTGGTTGCTTGATCATTGGAGACTGAAGGGTACCATTTCCAAGGAATGGTCAAACCCGATGGAGGAGTGGGGACATGGTAGGTAACATGTGGCGAAGTGGAAACCGAAGAGGGGTTGGTGCCGAGAAGGTCCAACAATTGTCGAGAACATTGCCTCCACGAATAGTTTTGTTGGTCAGAAGGTCTAGTGATACCCTACGGTGACATAGGTCAGTCGTAGGTATTTCATGGCATGGGTTATGTATAAGTCTTCCACGACAACAAGTTGTGACCGACGACGACGAAGGGCTACTGATGACGGCGGTTGTCAAGATTATATGGCATGCGATTGTCTCCATGGTTATGATGGTGTGACTTGTTCCAGTTGTTAGAGGAGTGGTTGTTTGACTTATCTTGTGGCTGCGATGAGGACCCAATATGAAGCACCGTATAAGACGACGAGTGGTCGGAATGAATGACATGCATGGGGCGGTTCCGATTAAGGCGATTTTCTTCTAATGTAAGCATAAATCGAGATCTTAATAAGGATGGAAGGGGATTTTGGTGACGTATGACAGTGGCAATGTCGTCAAAACACGGAGTCAAGGAATTTAGGAGATGACTTATAAGCATTTTCTCGGGAATTGGAGACTCAATGTTTGCCAAAATGTTCGAAACTACCGGCATTTTATGATATATACCAGAAGTGGTCTGATCGCCAAGAGTCATGGAGCAAATTTTTGTTTCAATCTCAATTTTGCGTGCGTCTTTTGTGTCGCAAAAAAGATCTTCAAGTGGTTTTTATACCTTATTAGTCCCTAATCGATCCTTGAGCACCATAATTAGTAGTGATTGAGAGTGGTTTCTGTATATCGACATGGTAACCAATTAATCGAGTTTGGACCACTCAAGTTCATCGGTAGCGGTAGAGCTGGAGGAGCCATCAAGATGTCCCACAACACCATAAGCTTTGAAAATGTGTTTCAATAGGACCCACCAAGTGTCATTGTTTGATTTATAGAGATCAAGGATGAGTGGCATGTATGCCTTGATGTTGGCGATGCTATACGGATTGAGGTTGGAGTTTGATGTGTTGTTGTCATTCGTCGTAAATAAGATCAACGCAAGGATGTAGCCACCAGAACGGGTAGTCAAAATTAGGGTTAGAGGGGGAGTGTCTCTAATGCATAATGGAGTCACTATTTCTCCATAATTGGATAACGTGTGATGGGGTATGGTGGTGTATTATCGTAATCCACCCCGAAGGCCAAGATATTTCTAATTTTGCAGACATGACAACTTATAGAGATTCCAAAAGGAGGTTTATCTCTCACTCCTCATCGATAGCATAGGAGCTACGTAACATCAATGTGTATTGCAGTGACACAAATACCATGTACAAGATACAATTTGGTCTATCTATGTTATACTTAAGTAGGCTATAAAAAATAATAACACAAAGACTCGTATACACTAATAGGGTATAACACAAGTTCCATTTAGTTACAGACTGCTCAATTGCATTTCCAGCTATTACATATAAGTGGTCTACGCCGATACTTTTTTCATCTTTATGTTTATTTGTATCGGATGAGATATTTATCAAAATCATGACTTTCATAATAAGAAAATTGTAATTATTTTTATTGTAAGACGTCGGTGATAATTTTGTTAACGGATGTGTTTGGGAATTAGATGTATTCATTATTTTATTACATCTAATGGAATAAATGTGGATTGTAACACACAATTTAATTAATCAAGGTAACAATCAAGATTTTGTGTAGGTGATTTTCTTTTTTTCTTTGGTGAAAAAAATTGTTTTTGTCGTTGAATTCAAATATTTATAAATGCAATATTTGTGATTTAATAAAGCTGACACAGCAAACTCAATATCATTTGACCCCACACACAAAATGTATGATGTCGTGGGATTTTGCCACGTGATGGGTTTGTTATATAAAATAAAAGAATTATAAACATGTCCGTACACCCTACATAGGGTACATTAGTTATTTTAGGATAACATTAAATTGCATAATGAAAAAGATAAAAGAAACGCAATTATCAAAAATAGTCATGAAAATTAAGGTGTTTTTTTACTACACAACTTAATGATTTAACAACATTAAGGTGTTTTTCATTATGAAATTTTAATTAACACCACTACACCATGAACATGAACATAAAGGATGAACCTAAATAAACGCAATAAATTCAGGTGGTTGGTTATTGAAAGGCACACCATAATCTATATCACAAACCTCAATTAGCCCCCAACCATTTTTCGAGAACTCCAGCTGCATAGTTCCAAATTCTTCTTATATATCTATGTTGTTGCTGAAAGCTCGCATAAGGCACGGTCCACCGAAAATAGAGCACACAGGAGCTAAATGCAATGTTAAAGCTCCATCGAACTATATTGACTATCCAGTCCACTTTCTCCCCAGCATTTGCATTATTTAGTAAAATTGATCTCAGGAAAGTGAAATTGTGAGAAATATGACTTTTTAAAGCTTATCAAAGCTTTAGTGTGGAGTGTTCACAATTTCGCTTTGTTGGGATCAATTTTACTAACTAATGCGAATGTTGGGGAGAAAGAGGACTCGATAGTCACTATAGTTGGTGGAACTTCAACATTGCATCTGGCTCCGATGTACTCTATTTTTGGTGGACCGCGGCTTATGCGAGCTTTCAGCAGCAACATGCATATGCAATAAGAAATGAACTTCAACATTACATCTGGCTCCGAAAGTACTGTGGAAGTCCAGTTCACAACCATCAATAATCTGAATCGGAGAAATGAACATTTCTTTGCTCAACAAGGTGAGTTTTTAACCCAAACTTTTAATAGGTTTAACTGTTTGGTTAATGATATGTGCATGCTGAGAATCATCAAGCATTCCTCTTAATTGGTTTTAAAGTTTCCTGACTCTCTCAGAAAAATTTGGGAACATCACGTTGATGTCCTGAAGAATGGTGAAAAGATTAATGAGATGGATCTGAATTCCTTGTTTGGTAACTTACGAAACTACAAAGAGACCAAAGCTCTTTGAAAGGAAATCAAGAAAGACTCAAGCAAGGAGGATTATGTTGCCCTGGTATCTCGAAAGGAAGAAATAAAGCACATCAGCGACTCAGATAACTCATATAAGGGTGAAGAGAGTGATGAAGATCTCACTAATGAGCTTGTTGTCAGCGATGCACTTATCGTTAAGCGCTACGAAGAAAGCAGAGCAAACAGGGTTAGAAGAGCTCAGTTCAAGGGAAGTATTTCAACAAGGATATTCCACTACATTATACATTTTGTTTGTAGGGTCAAATGATATTGAGTTGGGTTCTGCCAGCCAGCTTTACTGAATCACAAATATTGCATTTATAAATATCTGAATTCAGCAAGAAAAACAATTTTTTTTCAAAGAGAAAAAGAAAATCACTTACATAAAATCTCGATTGTTAACTTGATTAATTAAGTTGTGTGTTACAATCCATATTTATTACATTATATGTAATAAAATAATGAATACATCTAATTCTCAAACACAATTGTTACAAGAACTATCACCTAAGTCTTATAAAGCGAATCATACCTTCGTGTTTTTCTCGGACTTATTAGGTCTATACAGTTGATCGAACTTGAGGACTTAACATAGAGTTCTTTTCTTGTGATTGTACCCAAGACGCAAAACACCAGCAGATATGAAACCAACTCGAGAACCGGCAGGAACTAGACTCGATTAACGAATCAGACAACGACCACGGTGTGACAAACAGTGGACCACGACGTGGTGATGAGCTCCAACTCTTTTAGGGTTTACGAACATTGGAGGTATAAGGCTATTTTCCATGCACCCAAAAACCAGTTTTTGACCCCTCTTTATATAGAGAGGTGATTTGAAACCCTAAAGATAATTATGAAATATATTTGTAATTATCTAGGCTTTTTAAATCATTCTAGATTATTCGAAATTCATTTGTTCTTTAAATAATTAATTAAACTATTAATCAATTAACAAAACAAGTCCCTAAAATAAATATATTTTTAGTTATGCTTTGTTTTGCTCTTGCGTGTAACCCAAAAGGGCATTGGTATTTATAATAATATTACCGGCTTGTTATGACAATTGGCATTATTCTCCATCAAAATATGCAAAACATCCATAATGTTAGTCCTAAACAATTGATTCAATCAAGTAAATACGAATATTATGAAGAGCAATAGAGAATACTTTGAAACTAAACTTTATTAAATAAGAATAGTTTTGTAAAATACTAAGAGATAATCAATAAGCATACTCTAATTATGAACACACTCTTAATCGATAATCCTTAACAAAGAGGGATCTCGATACATATAACAAAAAACCTAATAATCTAGCTTAATATGCAAGTTGGATAAATATGAAAACACAACCCTTACTAAAAAGGAGTCTTCTATACGATAACTCTTATCTTTGAAGTCAACCTTATAAGAATAAGGAATATATATTTTAGCCCTTGAGATTATCCGCTGCAATAGCTTGACTCATCAAATCTAAAGACCTAACAATCTCTTTATGTTTGATGTTTTCAATACTAACATAAATAAAATAATAACTCTTTATAGAATAGAGGTTTTACAAAAGACTATATCAACTTTTACAATAATAATAAAGTTTACATGAAGAGCTTGGCAATACCCTTATCATATTCCTTTGCTTCATCAATTATCTCTAGCTTGGTATACACAAAATTTGCAGCGTATCTCAACTCTCATATTCTTTTATTCATTTCAACTCTAGTTTTGACATATTTACTTTTTATTATTATAAACATTCTTTAATATTTATCATCTTAAAAGAATAAAATTAAAAAAAAAAAAAAATTTTCTTGTCTTTCTCGTATGTTAATGTTATAGTTTAGGGATGTTTTGCATAATTATCAAATGTTTTCCTCTTATAGTTTAAGGATGTTATGCATATTTATAAAATATTATAAAATGTTGAGTCAAACGGGTGGAACGTATTTGAACTTAAGTCGTCTCCTTGATTTATAAAAATTATAAAGTTCTTCGTATTAGCTTTGTATTGTTATAAACATTTTATAATATTTAACATCCTAAAAACAAAATAAAAAAGTTAATTTATTTTTATTTATCTTTCTCGTATGTTATAGTTTATGGATGTTATACGGTGCCGATGATTTTGTGCGGTTTGACAACAACTATAAATACTACATAATTTAATTCTATAAACGTTAGCTAAATTTAGTTACTTAATTTTTAAACCGTATGAGATTGTGCAATAGATCTTAAAAAGACATGTATAGATTAATTGCAAGAAATTAATCATTAGGATAAATAAAACCTATTTAATGTAATTATGATTAATTTCAATTGAATAAAAACTTAAGAAAGAGACAAAAATGGCCAAGTATTTTAAGTGTTTGCCAAGATTCAGGAAAACTAGTCGGATTCATTAAATTAAAAGGACCGTTATCATAAATAAGGTATATTCAGAATTTGATAATATTTCACATCCGTTTGCAAAATCCTAAATCCCAACTCGTTATAAAACCAACACATTGTCTCTTGAAATCTTAAATAAAATGATGAGCCATGTTTACTCTATATCCTTCTATCAATCGACTACAGTCGTGAATGATAGCGAAAAGGATGAAAGTAAGGGTAAAAGCGGTGACAATTATTACATGTTTAGGTGTTCTATTGATTCCAAATACACATTTTCTAG